GCACACACACACACACACACACTTTTATATACACACACATACACAAAAGCATTGACATAATATTTAAACAATTTTCCTAGACATTTGTACTGTATAAGAATATAAATGCTATATTTATAAAATATATATTTATTGTTAGTACCGAACGGTAGAGTTTCTGTCAACAATTAGAATCACCGAACAGTAGCTTCTCGAGGGATACGACTTGCCTGTGCCTCTGAGCTACGTCCAAAATGCCCGTGCATTCTTTCTTAGGAGTGATCCTTGATGCATCCAAAGGAGTGTTAATTTGTGCTTGATCTAACAATTTTAATATTTTTTCTCGGGATAAAACACTCGTGCCGTTCGCTTCCTGATTCGTCTTCCATTCCTTTAATGGCGATTGAGACGATGTCTTATTTTCATTATTCGAAATTATCATTGCATCCTGTTCCCTTGTGCTAGTAATGACTATTGTCTGTACTGATTTATCTACCGATTGCCAATCTTCTCTAGTGTTACCAACAGTTTTTTCCAGTTGCATAATTTTATCGTACATTTCGCAACATTTTTTACATTGTTCCACATCCGACGGTACCGTTATTGTAAAGTCCTGCTTTTTGTTTTGCGTATGCAAAGACTGGAAATATTACAAAACTGATAATGAGAATTAATCAAGCACTAGACAATTTTTAAATTAGGTGTACAGCAGATATATATATATACTAACCGCTAATTGTACCGTCAAAACATCTATATTTGTTTGCAATTCTTGAAGTTTTGCGAGTAATCGTTCATTGGTAGCTTTTAACGCTATAATATTAGCCTGCTCATTGTTGAAAGCAGCCCTTAAAGTCTGTTGCTCCTGAGCATCGTCGCAAAGTCTTTTTTTTAATTCAATATTCTCCAATTCAAATTGCCCGTATTTAGACGTAAGCGCAATAAGTTCGTTATTATGTTGTTGCAATATTTTAATTTCGTTCATAAGATCCCGTATCTGTTCATCTTTTTCACGCAATGTGAACTGTGAATTCTTTGCCTTCAACATCTGGTCATCGATCTCGGCTATGCGCGTTCTCTCTGAGGAAAGAACAGCCACTATTTCCTGATTATTCCTAATAAAATAATAAATTTTCAAATTAGAAATATACTATATTTAATAATTTTTCTCATAATATCTAATTAAACAATTTATTATATCTACAAGAGACTGATAATAAATATACTTCGTAGTTAGTTCAAGAGTTGTCTTCAAGTCATTAATTTCAGTAGTCAGTGCAGTATTTTTCTCCTGGGTTATCATTAATTTATCGTTTAATTGCTTCATTTGTCGCCACACCCGTATATACTCTACATTTTCCGCTACCTTCTCTTTTTGATTATTGGTTAAATGCGCTAGTTCTTTCTCCAATTCCATTATACGATATGTCATATCTTTCTTCTGCGCCTCCAATTTCTACGAACAAAAGTTGGACGCTAAGTAAAAATTATGTAACATTAATAACGAGCAAGCGTATATGCTTTCGTGAAGCTGTGTAATCGTCCAAATATCAAATCATACAAAGGAACTCGTGCAATAATATTTTACATCTCTTATGCTATTCTACATTATTCCGCAAACTCGTTTTATCCTGTATACGCGAAATATGACATTGATTGTGCCGTGCGAATGAAGTAGATGAGACAATATGAAGTTGAATATATGTATGTGCAAATATCTCGAATTTATTCAAGCTAGTTTTACCTCGATTTTAACAAGGTAATTTCGCATGTCGTTATCATCATCCCCTGCCCCGACGATGCACTGACAGGACGGCGCTCTCACGCGGTTATTCTCGCTTCGACACGTCCTAAAGGGAGCCGATTCAGTATTTCAATGCGCCGCGACATAATGAGTCATGGTATATACATCATGTACCTAGTACGTATACTTACACAAGCCCGGAAGATGATGGTCTAACGAGATTACGGCTGCGCGACGACGACCTGCCGCTCATCGTGTGACTCAACAATTGATTCCTCATTACAGCGATTTTCTCCTTCAGCTGAAACATTTAACAATATTTCAGAATATTTTTTAAATTTATGATCATACAGATTACACATAATCTTTAGCATGAGTTAATTTCGTTAAAAAGTGTCATGATAGAACTTAATAATACTATAAACAATTTAATAATCTACGCTGTACAGAAATAATATACAATAGAATATAAACGTTACTCTTCCGAGTGGAAGATCCAATTGTTATGTCATGATACGAGAAAGAAAGAATCGTCATTACTTGAAGGTAATTGTTTACCTTGGTATTTTCAAGCTCAAGAGCGGCTGTTTTATTCCTATCATTAGCGATATCTAACATTAATCCACACGATCTTGGATTACCAGCCAATCTAATCAGCTTCGTCCCGAGCCGCTTAATCTTGTCTTCCTGGCAGTTGGACAATTTCTTCAGATTGCTCGCTTCATCGAGTAAACGTAGATACTTATCCTCCAGCTGATAGCGATCGAGCTTGCAAACGAGATGACGTTCTCTAGGATCTTCCAATATTCAAAACATTATTCACGCACTTTGCACATCATTACGCGCAAAAATAAATAGCATAATAATAGATTTGTGTAACAACATTGTTTATCGATTTCAATTCTGGAACAGGACATACGAAGAAATTTATGTTCGCGCTTGTATAGGAAATAAGGCTACAAATCAGAGGAGTATCGAACAGTTGGCTATAAATTATCCAACTGGAATTATATACGGCAGATACAAAATGGATACGAACCTATATAAGCACTGATAATCGTATCCACGCAGGAGCCTTCCTTCACAGGCAAGATGTCACGATTCGGATCGTCTGCCATTTTCAATCGGAATTTCAACGTCTTAGTAGACCAGACGAAAAGTATCGTCTACAATTTCGAGATGACGTTGATTAGCATGCGGATGTCAGCGGACGCTGAAAATTTGACATGCAGCGTGGAATTAACGCTATTTATTCGCGAGATACTGCGAGCGCATCAAAAGGATTTAATTTGAAGAGACAACACATAGGAACGATTCTTCTAAATTATCAGTGTTTCTTACGATCTAAATTACATTTATTAAATATTCTTCGCGCTGTCTTCGCCGAAATAACGATTATTTCTCCAATCATTTGCACAAGAGTAATTAAACATGCCTATCGATTTTGTTCCATTACCGATTTGCGAATGAGAGGATTCGAGTGATCGATAACACTCTGTAATTCCACGCTAACTTCAGTCTATAATAATGTAAACGATTATTTATCATAGTATAAAGTGCTGTTTACATTGCTGTTACGTGATATTTTTTTCGTGTGAAGATTTTGACAAAAATATATCGGGTGGCATTTGCAAACTATTAATTACATCAATATGTTATAATTTTCAATATAACTGTTATGTACATGTGTTAATTATATTATATATTACATTTATGTTGTTGAGTAGGAAATTATAATATTAATATAATGTTACTGTTAATTCAATGTTCTGCGAGACGCGAGTCGCGGAAGTAAATGATTTAAACGCTATATACGTCATAGTTGTTATAATAATAGGTATGTATAATATAGAGATATAACGTTAATATTACTTTTTAAAAATAACATATAACGTATATTATTTTTATCATTATTCCGCCTTCCATGTCCATAAACGAGAAGACATAATAAGCAATTTTTATTTGAGAACTAAAATATTGCTGGATATACACGAGCGACTATAATTATTGTTCGTTATCACTCCTGCTGCCAGATTTGAGATAAACGCTATACGCTATCTACCAGAATCATGTTTCTGACTTTTTCGAGGGTGTGATTCATCCTCATTCGATATGAATCATATCTCCGCATAGAACTTTTAAAGTAGCGGAAAAGAAAAAAAATAACAGAAAAAGAATTTAGTTTTACGAGGAGAAAAGTGGAGAAAAAATCACGCAGCTTCTGGGACCAATGATTATATACATGAGATTTGATTACTTTCTTTTTCTTCTCTCTTCTTCTTTCTCGGGAAAGACAGACGTGTTACGTGTGGCAAACTGGCGCCACCCGGTATATCAGCACCGCTGTGAGCCAGTCAGCCAGTGCCAATGCGAGCGGAGCCACGATCCGGAGGAGAGACCAAGCACAACCTGAACCCGTCCGTGACCACCGCACCGTACCCTCGCTTTTGACATCGGCGGCGGTGGTGTTAGCGGCGGCGGCGGCGGTGGAGTGTGCGTGCCAGTGGGAAAGGTAAGATGGCGGCGGACGGAGATGCGGTGATTCCGGACCAGGAAAAAGTGCGAATAGTCTCGGATTTTATATTGCACTCGCCGCCGGGCGAGTTCAACGAGGTGTTCAACGACGTGAGGGTTCTGCTGAACAACGACAACCTGTTGAAGGAGGGCGCGTCTGGAGCCTTCGCTCAATATAACAAGGACCAGCTCACGCCTGTTAAGGTACATCATCATCGTCGTCATCATCATTATAGGCGGCCGCCGACGGTACCGCGTACGCTGACGTCGCTGACCCTGTATTTTCTCCCGCGCGGCCTTCACTTTAACTTGCGGCAAATACGGCTCGCACCCTTGGCGCCCTTTTACGCGTTTATCCTCTTTTCTTTTTAAGTGTATGTATCGATTCCGAAAGCCCGCGAGGCGCGACCACGGTGACCTTAAACACTTTGTCTCTATCTACCTCGCGTTATCGGGGCTCTCTGGGACTCATTGCGCGGATGACGCTCGCTCCAGGCATCGCCACGCGACGACATCCCCGTGGCTCTCGCATGACCGGCTCGAATATCCGACCCCCCCCTCGCGCCAGGTTATGGAAATTTTGCTCTAGCTAGACAACAGGAACATCGTATCGCTATTTAATCTCCGAATGTACAAACGAAAACTATTTCTTTTGTTCTTACACTAGATCGCTACCTTGACGTTTGTATATTTTGGAAACTATCGTAATTCAACTGAGGTTAGGCACTGCATGTACAATGCCAGTAGCAATGCCACAACGTCTTTTTTATTCATTTTTCTCCTACTGTAAATAACTTATTATACAATATAAAAATTCAAGATTTACATGTCTTTTTCTATAAAATAATAAATCTATGCAAAAATATACATACGTAGATTGTGGTACATTAATTAGCATAAGGAAAAATAAGCGTGTAAAGTAAAATATTAAAACTCTGTTTTTTCCATCACATGCAGATAGAGGGAAGTGACCACCCAGCGCTCATAACAGAACACAATGACTTGGGTTCTCAGAGGTTTTATGACGCACGGAGTAAGCAAAGTTTTAAATATGATCACCTGAGAAAGGAGGCGCAAGATTATGAATCTTACGAACCAGATCCCTTAGCGGAGCCTTGGAGGTCAGCCCTTCAAGAAGAGATAACGAATTATACTCAAAGTCATTACAGACATGGCGCTTGCTCAGTTTTTGGAAAATCCCTTGGTGGTAATTGTTACTTTGATCAATTGACTTTAAATCAGAGGGTGTCATGAGTAATAATTGTTTTTTTTTTTAACGCAGGAAACATAACGCTAACGGCGTGCATAGAAGATCATCAGTTTCAACCTAAAAACTTCTGGAACGGCCGCTGGCGTTCAGTATGGACCGTCAGTTTCACTCCAAGTTCGGGTAACGCCGAACTGAGAGGTAGTCTCAAAGTACAAGTACATTATTACGAGGATGGAAATGTACAATTGGTCAGTAGCAAAGATGTGAAGGAAAGCCTGCCGATCTCCAATGAGAAGCAAACGGCGAAGGATTTGATACGGTTTGTCGAAGAATCCGAAAACGATTATCAAACGGCAATTTCCGAGAACTATCAAACAATGTCCGACACCACCTTTAAAGCACTGCGAAGGCAATTACCAGTAATGCGAACAAAAATTGACTGGAACAAAATTGTGTCGTACAGTATTGGCAAAGAGCTTAAAAGTCAATAGAAATAAATTTTTTTATATTAAAAGAAATAATTAAAAAAAGCGCATTTTGCTGCATGAGTGAAGTCTGGAGGTGTGATGTGCATGGGAGCAAATTACACTATTAAATAACGTCTGACTAGAGATATTCGACTCATGCATGCCACTCAAGGTTCCTCTTGACTCCATATTGTATGTTGTTACAAGAAGCAATAAAACAAGAAGGTCAACATTTTTGGCGTTGTCAATTGTATCAAAAAATTAATTAAAAGCATAATTTTTTTAAATCTACATTTTTCATAAAATAATGTAATGTTAAACGGCTTGATAAACATTATTTTTACAAATATGTTAATTCTTGTAAAATCGAAAATCAATGTCCGACGACGGAACCTTTGTATAAATCACGCTGTTTTTTCGTTTCTCTCTCTCTCTCTCTCTCTCTCTCTCTTTCTCGACTAACCATCTTTCTTAAAATAATGTCCGTGATATTCGCATTGTGCAGCATAGTGCAAGATATAATTTTTGGACATAAAAGCGATAATAAGTATCGAAGATAAAAGATCTATTCACTATTTATAATGGGGTAATGGGGATCCTTGTTCTTATGTTAAGTGATTGAACTGAAGTTGAATTCGATGTGTTGAATAGCTTGAGATTGTGACACCGATAGCGAAAATAAATTTGAACTATAATCATGTAGTTATGAAGTAATGAGCAGATAAAGGCAGTTTTTCAACTGATAAAATTTATAAATTCCTGCAAACTTTATCAAGAATATAGTAACATCAGTGATATCTTATAATTATTTATATTTTTACTTTTAATAACACTCTTTGGAGAATATTATTATATCTAGTATATTATTATAATAAGAGAAATTAATACGCAATGTTATTCACTGAGGTTATTATTTTATTGATAATCTTATCATTACATTTATATCGATCTGCTCTAGCACAATTTATCTATCACTTGATGGTTCACCCTGACTCTCAAAGCAAAATAATTTTAACTATTTTATTATAAACCGTCTATCCGATACTTGAGTACTAAAAAGTAAAATATGTTGTTTACGTTTTATAATATAATTGTGAAATACAATTAGAGCCTGTATGAAAAATGTTACATGATACAAAAAAAGGTTTTCTTACGGATGTGACGATGTGCGAATAAGGTAGCGAAATTGATAGTTTATGTCAGGTATAAGGAAGATCTTTAGACTGATTCTCTTTTTTTTAAAAAGAAGACAAATCTGTAACGCTTAAGTCTTAGATCACTCAAAGCGACTCGATGACACATCTCGTGTATTTAAAAATTCGATTTAAAGAATGATATATATACATATATCGTTCGTTATTCGAATTTTTTATTATATAAATATATATATATATATATATATACATATTCTCTGTTAATTGTGTTACTTATCGATACAACATGCTGGGGCCATGGGTGATATCAAACGCATAATATATCAAATGTAATACGAAGACATTAGATGTGTCTATCCATGATTTGTCAGCCCGGTACCGAACACCGTTAAGTGTTCATTACCGCGTTCAATACACAAAGTACGAGAAACAAGGAAACATAACTCTTAACAGATATTGGTGGGCAAGGCCTACTATTTTTATCCAACTTTACATTTCATAAAGGTATATAAGTCTATATACATTTTTGTTAAAATGTATTGTTTTATAATAAGTATGTCTATTATATACTGGATACGTTGCAAAGTTTTAATGAACTACTGAATGAAATAAATGTTAATCATTGCGCAACTTGGTTTCTAAATTAAATTACATTAGTGTAGCCGTCACGAAAGAGTTATTCGAGTTCGAAAGCAGAAGCGGAAAATCTCTTAGTGCTATCGCTTACTACACATTACACAGCCAGACATTGTACGCGAAAACGGAAACTAACAAAGTACATAATATATTGTACATTGTAGAATGTAGCCTATAGCCTGCTGGAGCCTTAATCTGTTCACTTTACGTTGGGGAATGGGGTGGGTATGGAGATTGGGTCTCGGGGAATATACTATGTACATATGTTATTTGGATGAATGAATGCGACGATGCGCACCATCATTTGACTCTTACATACAATAGGATTCGAAACGTGTGTGTAATATTATTCATACTTTGTAAGTTACATCGTAATTCAAGGCATCATCTTTTTAGTCACAGTACAGCTCTTCAAAGGGAAAAGAAAAGGAAAACGCAAGTTCTTGCCATTGACACTTAAGGGTGGTTAAATAAAAGTACATACGAATAAAATACGTTAATTAAATTACTTGTTAGAATGTGAGGCGCGATAACAAAGTTACTCATGTAAATACAATCGCACATATGCTACTTGGAGTCGTTGTTTGTATTACGTATGTAAATTACAAAATGGGGCGTTGAGATGTTTCGAATCTTGTCAAAACTCTACACGACATAGTTGCCTACGATATTGAAAACTAGGTATTACCTACAATCGAATGTATCGTAACATAACGCATGTCCTTATGTAAAAATTTAAACACAAAATACATTTATCAGTTAAATTATGTATTATTGAATGTTATGATTGATTAAATAAAGTGATATGACACTTTATACTGCTCTCGAGTCTAAGAAATTCTCTCATAGAAATATGTTTTGCATACAATTAATTTTTGCATTTGCAGATGCTTTCTCTGTAAAAAATTGATATGTGACATTAAGGCCCGTATTCATAGTCAGACCTTGTACTTAAGGCTT